TTAGGGTTTTGGAGACGGATTCGAGAATCAGAGAATTAGGGTTTTAGGAAGATAAAACTTATGTTTATGGTCCTTATTTAAGCCGCCGGTTCAATTTTTATTGACAGACAAACCGGTCTGATTTATACCGATCCGGTTCGGTTACCCTCGTAATTATAAAAATTGGAGAAAAAACAAAGAATTTGTAGGATTCTTTCTTTCTGACTCTCACGCTAGTGGCGAGCACGCCGGAAGGTAGGGCTTGGTGATGATCACCGATTGGTTCTCCATTGATTGCGTTTCGTGTTCTTAGTACTGTTTATAAATCATCTTCTTCTTTGGTTTTTGATTTCTAGGGGTTAAAATTTGTTTTTTTTTTCTATGTTTTGGGTCTCAGATCTATCAGTAATCTATTCACTGCGATAATTCTTTGCGGAGAGTCATTGGTTTTGATGTGCTTAGTTGGTCCATGACTGGGACTCGTTTGATCTGTGATTCTGGAATTGGGGATTAGGGTTTTAGTGATATGTGTGAATTTGATGAAAAGCCTTAATCTTTTGTATGACATGATTCTGAGATTACTTCTTCTGGAATTCTTGTTTGTGGACCTTTTTGGATATTGAATTACATTGTTGAGGTGTTTAATGAATCATGAACTGAATTATGTCTATAAATTTGTGGCTCCAGTAGTGAAGCTCACATCTTTTTGGAATATCGACTAATGTGGATTGGTTGAGAAACTTTGAAATTGTACTTATTGATGAGCTTATCTCTCTCTCTTGCTAAGCTTTAATTTCTGACTTTGAATTGGTAAAAGCTATAAACTGTGTTCTTGTTAAATTTGTTTCTGATTTTGAAGGATTTGAATTCGAAACATGGCATCGAAATTGGTACAACTTCAATCGAAGGCATGTCAAGCTTCAAAGTTTGTGTCTAAGCATGGGACTTCTTACTACAGACAGTTGTTGGAGAAGAACAAGCATTATATTCAGGAGCCTGCAACTGTAGAGAAGTGCAGCGAGTTGTCTAAGCAATTGCTCTACACTCGTCTTGCTAGGTCGATATCTTTTCTTCTCTATCTCTCTTTATCTTGACATATTTCCACTGGCCATGACTCATACAACCATGCTCTAGATTTAGTGTTTAAACTATCTCCTTTTTTGTTTACTTTCTGAAATATTAATCTTCATATAAATGCTGAGGAAATGTGTAAGTTGGATTTGCATTACTCGCACGTAATGAGTTTTTTTTTTGCCTTTTAGACATTGATAGAATTGAAAAATGCATTCTTGAGCACTTTTGTGTTATCCTCTAATAGTTTTGGTCCATGATCAAAATTGGTATCCTTGAATTGAGCTCATAAATCGTAGATGACTTGGTTAATCTTTGTGCCTGTCATGTTTTTCAATTCGGATAACGGAATCCAAGCACCACATTGTGTTTTGCTATCAGTTAAAAGAGTTTTTGCTTTCTGTAATTTGCAGTCTTGATCATGTATCTAAAATACTCTTCTTAATCATTACAGCATTCCCGGGCGCTACGAGACACTGTTGAAAGAAGTAGACTACGCAAAGAGCTTATTGAAGAACAGAGCGAATCTGAAGGTGGAAGACGCAGGAATCGCTGCATTGTTTGGCCTGGAATGCTTTGCTTGGTATTGCGCTGGTGAAATCGTTGGAAGGGGATTCACTTTCACCGGTTACTACCCTTGAAATGGAGACAACAAGAATGTTCTTCTGACGCTTGTAACTCCCCCCCTCAATTTGATTGCTCACTTCCTCGAATCCAAATTTATTTTCAGTCTTTTATATAAAACAGAGTATTGGAGCTAAGGAAAAAAAAACCATTTTGGTAAAAGCTCTTAATAAGAATTGAGAAAATGCATTTGATACAAGATTATTTCTTTAGGTATTTGTAAAATTTTACTCTCTAAAAGTTCAAATCTATTTCGATATTTAAAACATCCGAGAATTTTAATTTTTATATATTTTGTGGTTGTGCATATTCGAGAGTATACTTCCAAATAATGGTAGGCAAACTGATATATGGGTCTAAATGGTATCATTGGATTCTGGCAGAATTACGGATTCTGGCAGAATTTTTAGTGATTTTTTGTGGAATCTGGCGGAATAACTTTAAATTTAAATGGTAATAGCTGAATCTGGCGGAATGTAGCGGAATTTTTAA